ACAATTCGACAAATTGGAACGATCATTCTCGTTCAACGAGTTGAAGATTCCTTTAAATCCCATTTGTTGGTCACACCTTGACAAATATTGCTACGACAAAACTGGCTAAGCGGTAAAAAGAATATGTAATAAGGATAAAAAAAAAAAGAACAACAGAAAATAGATAAAAACGGAGGGAAAATATAGGAATAACAGGAACTTTTGACGACGAGACAAATCAAAGAAGAAGAAGACAGAAAAAAGAAAATAACAGTGGACGATCACTTTTGCTGTCAATCGAAAAAGCGTTAAAATTGAATGAGAGGAAAGTAATTAAAAAAAAAAAAGAAAAAAGAACTCCAAGAAGAAAACAAAAGGATAAATTAAAAGGAAAAAAAAAAAAAAACAATAATCATTATGGCACACTCCGTGAGAAGTAATTTGTTCACGTATAATAAATCATCCATATTCTCTTTCCTCGGAGATGGATTTTGTTTGTTTGTTGATTGATTGGTTGGTTGGTCGATTGATTTTTTTTGTTTTTTTTGGTTCACAGTACTTTGTCGTCGTACTCTTTTGGTACAGTTACTTGTTTGTTTGTACTTGTTTTTTTTTTGTTTTGTTTTTGAAGGATAGGGGTTTGGATCATTATGGTACCTTCTCAATCAATTCGATACATGCGAGGAGATCCATGCCAAAGTCTATGAACTCCCATAGAATGCCCTCCTTAGTGTATTCTTCTTGTTCGAGGACGAACATGTGGTGGTTGAAGAATTGTTGGAGCTTCTCATTGGTGAAGTTGATACAGAGTTGCTCGAAACTGTTGAACTGTTCGAGCAAGAAATATCAAACCGGGGCATGCGTTTGGATATAGTCAGAGGAATCTAAAGTTGATCATTCGAAACAACAACAGGGTCCTTTTCGTTTCGATATTCCTTAAATTTGCGTATTTCGTTTTTGTCTCTTTTGTTTGGGGGTTCAAATATGAGATCAGAATTATTTCAATCTCATACACACGCACATATATATATATATATATATATATATATATACATGTGTGTGTGTGTGTGATATAAATACATACATACAATATTACAAATATATTATTGTAATATTAAAGCACGAGTTGAAATCTGTCGTGCTTTTTTATGGGGTACCTTTTTAATCATTTGTTTTGTTCGTACATACAAATGATGATTTTATAAGAAGTATCTTTCCTTTGTGGTGGTGGGGGGTGGTTCAGAGGGGTGGGGGCAAATTAAAATACTTGATACATACTGTCTATAGTAAATTTCTTTTTTATGGTATTAGTTTTACTTTCAATTACTACTGTAAAATGTAGTTTATTATAGGTAATCAACGAATCCAAAGTGTCAGATTACGAATAACTTAAACATCAATGGATTCTCAATCGTTTTTCTTTTCAAAATCGAGAAACATTAAATACTTGTTCATATTTTATTATACAAAATATTTTTACGATACGACACGATATAAAAAGTTACATCATTCGCAAAAAATAATTTGCATTATTATTAGAATTGTATTTTGACATGAAAAATTTTACGTTGTTGTTTGTTTGTTTGTTTGTTTGTTTGTTGTAATAAACAAAACCAAAATTGTCAAGGTCGTATTATTTATCATTTTTATATTATTAAATATATTATGCGATTCGAATGAAATTTTATCGATATAGACGAAAAAACAAGTATAAAAAAAAATCTTTTAAATTCATTTTATCCGTTTAACAATTTGTAATCATTTTTTTAGAAAATTAACAAAATCACCAACGATTGAGAACCACTGACTTAGACCGTCTCTCGTTCTTCTACGGACGGTTGTTTGACACAAGTTAACTTTCTAACTTGGTTGATTTATTTGTCTCTTTGACAAATTAAATTATAACAGTTAATACAAAATATTCTACGTGAGGTCCACTGTTTCTTAAACATTATTATTATAAATAAATATAAATATATACAAACATTATTTAAACGAAAAAGAAAATTATTACAAAAAATAATTTACGGAACGCTTTTGTCGTAATTTTTTTTTTTTTTTACCTACTTGCATAAAAACAGCCTATCACGATACTTTTTTTTCTTCCAAGATTATTCCCAATTGTCATATTTCCAAAAAATCGAGAACAACAATTATAACATTATAATATCCATTGGAAAATTTATCAAGAAAAGTCAACGAGTCAGAGAAGAAGGGGGTCGGTCGGTGGTGGGGGCGGGGAGGGGGAGGGGGTTAACTACCCCACTCTTACCCCACCCGCCGATTTATTTTATAAACGAACAAAACATCTAATATCATTTCCTCATGCTTTCTAGACAAAAATATTTAGGGGGGGGGGGGTGTGTCAGGGGGTCAACAACATCCGAGATCAAACCACCTTGTCTAAGAAAAAAGAAAATATATTAACAAATCAACATTCTCTAACATTCTGTGAGACACATAGGCTGGTGGTGGTGGTTGTGGGGGGTGGGGGTGCGAGGAGAAAAAGTAATATTTGAAATATCGAGCTTGAACGGGGTAATTAACGGTGGTGGTGAGTGAAAGGGGTCCAAATGTTACGATAATATAATAAATACAATCGTGAAAAATTGGTTTATAACAGAAAATTGTAACTAGAATAAACAACAGCAACATAAACAAAATCAGATTATCTAACACAACGTGAAAATATATATATATACATATATATATATATATATTGATTAGAAGATCATAAGAGTGAGTCATGCCTATTGGGGGTGGTACTCATGGGGTAGATAAATGTAACAACAATGAATAATAAACTAATAGGAAATAAACGAATATATGAATAATAATAATAATAATAATAATCGTGATACCTAATGAACACAAATCGTGCCACTAATTTGGACATTATGGGGCTGTGGGGTGGGGTTGTATACAATGGTGAGAAAATAATCACAATACACATTCGAAGGATATTGTCCAGAGACAGTTGAAGAAGAACAATTGTTTTGGGGTATCGTTTTTTTTTGTTTTCGAACAAAGGGCTGTATGGGGAATTTTTTTGATGGTCCCCTCAATAAAAGGGATACCTTTTCGATTAGCTCGATACAAGCTAACAAATCCATTCCAAAGTCAATGAAAGCCCAGACGATTCCTTCCTTTTTATATTCCTCTTGTTCGAGTACGAACATGTGATGATTGAAGAATTGTTGCAATTTTTCATTGGTAAAGTTGATGCAGAGTTGTTCGAAACCGTTGAACTAAAGGGAACACCAACACAACGAATTTATCTTCCGCGGGGTTTTGTTTTTTTTTTTTTAACGGGGAACAATTGATTATCGCGAGGAACAAGAAGAAGAAGAAGAAGATTTTTTTATTCTGGAATAGAATTTGTTTTTCGCGCCTTATATGTCTTTTTTTGTTGTTGTTGGGTTTTTTTGTTGTTGTTTGTTTTATCGATGATACGATAGAGGAAGAAGAAGATCTAACGCGTGATAAGTAAAGAATGATCGTTTACTTTTGTTTAAGATTACGAATCTTGATATGATGGTCTCGTTTATGGTTTAGCTATTTTTTTTTTTTTTCTGATTTTTTTTTTTATGTGAATAACAGTGATATCATTGTCGTGTCATATTTGAACTTTTAAATATGTTTCGTTTAATTATTTATGTATATATGTATATATATATATATATGTATATATATTTATATGAAAAATAGTTTTAAACAAAATATATAATTAATACTATACTGAGAATATATATATATATACATATATCACATGTGTGTAATAAAAACATGAAATATGTGTTGAAGTTTTATCATTCCAACGCGTCGACGATTTTTAAAAGCTTTTTTCGTTATAACCTAACCTATAAACCTAACCTATACAAGTGGTTCGTACGTGTGTGTACGAAAGAATGAATAATTTATGTTACAATTAAAAAAATACCATTAAAAAATGGAAAAGATCTTAATTGATAGAAATATATATTAATTAAATGAAATATTATATAAATATCGGAATGTAATGTCGAATAAGATGATAAAAATCGTCGTCGATTGGATGAGTTTTTTAATCGTTGAACTTATGAAAAATATTTGTTCAAAAATGTAATTGTAATCAATATGGAAAGAAATACTTACGTCGAAAATCTCAAAACCAGCAATATCTAGTACACCAATAAAGTGTTGTCTCTTTTGCTGAGTATCCAGGGTCTCGTTACATTTTTTAACCAACCATTTGAACAATCTGTCGAACATAGCTTTCGACATAGCGCCTACGGAGTAGGCTACTTGATCTTTGTTACGACCTTGGGTTACAAACTCGTTACCGACCTTGATCCTTGGTTTCAACAAGTTCTTGTAAAGGTCGGCACAGTCGCAACCAAGAAGTTTAGCGACCCTGTCACCTTCCTATAATTATTATTTTACATCATTATTTTATGTTAACTTGTGTCGAGTTTTTAAGAGGTTACATGGGTTTGGGACTTTCAACAAACATTTTTTTTTTCAATTCTACAACTCGTCTAGAATATTGTATTGAATTTTGAAGTCGATAGGAGTAGTAGTTTTAAAGATAGAGCCTCTTTAATGGCTCTTATACCAGCACTCAAATCTTTAAACGCGTTTTTCTCAAAACGCTTTTTCTAAAATCGGTTGATCAAGATTTCTCGAAAACTATTTAACCGATTTTCATGAAATTTGCTACACGTCTTCGTGATACTA